AGTCTGCGAGCTAGTGAAGAAGGACCACAAATAGCAGGCTATTTTGCAAACTAGCCCAAGATGTCTTGGGAAGATTGCCCAAGCAAATAGCCTGCTATTTCGTGATCTGGCTAATTTCCCGGTTCAGAAATAGCGGGCTATTTGGCCAACTTGGGCTGATGAGGACAGGCCTGTTGTCTCTCTCTCTCTCTCTCTCTCTCTCTCTCTCTTTTTTTCTCTCTCCCACTGTTGAATTCCAGGGGTGTACCTTTCCACTCTGAATGAACATTTCCGGTATGCAAGCAGAAGACCTGGCTTGCATACCAGACAGACATTCATGTTGTTTGGTAGAGAACCTTACTGACAGATGCGATGTACGGAGAGTCGTGTGACCTTTACATGCAGTCAACGGCGAACGAACATTGTCATCCATCTCACAATGCAATGCCAATGGTGTGCTTGTTTTTCTATGGGTGATCATGTTGTTGGGGATATGTTTTGGTTTGATATTATCGTCTGTTTCAAGTCAGAACGGCGTTATACCTTAACACAGATTTAATGCCCTTTTGGCTCTGTGCAGATATTATCTGTAAATTTTGTTCGTTTGGTTTAGTTGTTATGAGCATATACCCTGAAAAATGCAATTACGTGTGTTTGACAATGTTATACATCAATTGGTTTGTTTTGTTGTAACCCCAATGGATGTGAGTAATCCGTACTAGTCCTCCAAATACTGAACATCATCCTTTAAGCTTCTGTGGATGTGACTTCACCATCTCATCACGAACATTTTTGCCTTTTGAAAAATGTATAGGAAAAAGATTGGTCTAATTACCAAAATATATGAGAAATGAGGGGAAGGTAATTAGCCTCATTTTGTATGTTCTCTTTAATGCATCTAATCAATTCATATTTCAGTCTCTCTCGGCTTGAGATTCCTCTAAGCCCACACTTTGGGGATCAGCCAGTGTCTCTAAAAACACCCTAATATACATTTTAATTAGGCCATCAATACAGGGGAAATAGTAGAGGTACTAAGATGTTATCCTGTGGGTCTCCCTCACTGAGTCTAGCCGTAATTGTGTCTCCAGGAAGTGGGTTTTCTCGCCTAAACAGTGTCAAGAAAATTATGGAATTTGGTGTGTCAAAGAAGATAATTTCATCGAAGGTCTACTTGTCTTGGCTGTTATGTGCTGCAGATTGCGATTTCTTTTTATTAACTCATGGGAATATTTCTTGCTCTATGAAGATGACCAATCTATAAAAGCTTTTTCAGATTACCGGTATGTATATTGCAGCACTCTATATTGCAAAGAATTGTTACATGCTTTGGTTTAACCTGGCATTACAATGTGCATTCAGATTTTCAGGATTTTCAGTATGCTGCAAAAAAAATGGAAGCGGTAGAAATATGCATGTCATATGCAATATAAATATAAGATACGGCTGTCATTATTGAAGCATTTTCAATGGAATGCTATCAACAAACATATCACCTATTAACAATTTATATCTCCTCTGATTAATTTTGTTATTGCACATTAGGTGGCTTATGATATGTTTCATTATCTTTTCACGGATTAGTCAGTTCCTCAACTTCCTGATGAAAGCAACCTCGAGGTCATGTCTGCGACGATAGCTACCTGTTGACATGTTTCTATCAAGGCTCGTTGTTTATAGCCATTGTAAACACGAGGGGTTTTGTCATGAGGATTTGGTAATTACAAATTACTTTTTTCCCAATGCCATTTTGTGATGATGTACCCTCATGAGTCACCCATTTATTTGGAATTGTTAATGAGGAAGAAAGGTGAGAAAAGTACAGGGAGCGCAGGATCAAGGCAGAGGGGAGCTTTAGGCATAAAGGGAGGTCGGCGGATGATTGTTTACTTGATGTCTGGTCTGTTGTCATGACGATACCGGAGATGATGCATTTACAGTAGAGATGGTGCACATGGTGTGTTGATATGGGTTCAGCATACAGAGAGTGCATCATGAGTCAACTGTTAATTATTCCTTAATCGCGTAGTCGTTTAGAAAGCGGGTTTGGTGTACAGTATAATATGCATAGACAGCAAGGCTAATTGATATAATAATTTATATTTTATAAGGAAGTAGGAACATACATTAGATTGTTTTTGTAATCCTGCATATTATTATATTAATAATCCGTTTTGGGCCAATCTAGCTCTTTACTTCTGTTGCTACCAATTTTTAAATGATATTTTCATTCTTTTATTTTAAAAAGGTAACTCCTTACATCTTGATCCAGAAATAGATCGATCATTGTGATCATTTTCTTCCAGGAATTTTACTTTTTCTGTTCTGCTCATTCTTCTCTTATTAAAAATCATAAACTGTGTTACCTCACGCTGCAATAAAAATGAAACTTGATACATCTACCAAGCTCTTAATAAGCAGCTTGAATGTTGATTTTAATAATGTCAAGTTTAGAGCTCACCCGAGGTGTATTTTGTCTGGAGATTTGGATGAGTCTGACCCAAATTCATTTGGCCCTGCGGTGGATTTCTTCCTCATCCTCCCAACCTCCGGCCACATTGGTAGAAGGAGATGGAGAGTTTGCATCGTGTAAGCTGAGAGATATGTACCCCGGAAAAATCTCAAACTTCCCCCTGGCTTCTTCCAAACTTGATTTCAATTAAAAAACTCTGCCATAGACTTTCAGCCCTGTTTAAAGAGCGGAACGGTGTGTCTGGAAATATGGAAAGCCGTCATCTGAGGACTCGATGCTTGTAATGTATACCCTGGCAAGATCAGATGATACACATATTTGTTGACCCACATATATTATTTCATGGACATCTCCAATTCGCTAGGGTTTGATCACACTGGCAACTTTTCTACCCTTGCGTACATTCGCTAACCTGCATATTGCGTCTGGCTGCTGGTAATGTGAACATTTCACTTGTAAATTACAGCTTGAAATGTACCCAGGGGTATGTATTATAATGAAGCTATGCAGAAATCGACTCATGGATTACAACATTCAATAATAGGCGGTGTCACACAGAGGCCAAAAATCTGGATTTTAGTTATCCTCTTAATGGCTGTCTGTCATCAATTATTCTGTTAAAAATCCTCTAACGAAGCAAGAAAAATTGTCCCCTGAAAGGATTTTTTAAGGGATTTTTCAAGGGATTTTTCTGTGTGACACCGCCTAATATGTACTGCTTTTCACACTCTTGCAAATTTTAAAATTGAAGAAACTGTCTTTTTGGAGCCGCGAGTGCATTAATTCTAAGTTAGAGTATGTGAGTTAATTCCCTCGCGTCTCTAATTTTTACCAGCAGCATGTGGCGTGATTGATATCGTGGATAGTCAATGATAATCCGTGCATAAATTAGTCCTAATGAGTTGTTTGTCTGCATTTTTACCCTAATTTATAAGCCAATATTCATAGAATTTTCTAGGCTAATTCTACCCATCATACACCGAATGACACTAAAGCAATGAATCATCATTTTAAAGGATCGAGGAATAACTCCTTTTTTGTAATGGTAGATTGTTCACTTTTATTATGCTGGATACAATCTTTGCAATGACGGACCCACCAATGTAAAGAGTGAGAGATATACATTTTGAAATGATATATCATTCCTCTTTCCTTGTAAATGTCAACATAAGGTTTTAGAGTACATGACTGTTGTGAGTAATGGATTAGTATTGCTTTAAGTTATTCAGCTAATCTGCCCTGAATCAAAGCAGAATTCCGCCTTTTGAAGTGACCTGGGAAAAATGATTAGAGTGGCTGTAGATTTATAGCACTGATTACTACATTTTTTAGAACAATGATGAATAATTATCAGGGGCTTGAAAGGGATGAGAATTAGCTTTAGGCGGTAAAATTCAACAACCAATTTCTGGGTTATGCTTAAGTTAGAATGCTTATAAAAAAAACACTGTTTGTGAAAGGAAAATGATGTGAGGATAAAAAGAATGATCAATGTCTTTTATTTCTTCTGATGTGCGATAGACTCGTGTCTGTCGCTGTTAAGCAAAAAGTAGAAGGCATATGCCCCCTTGAAACATTACTTGTCAGTGTGCGGTAGATCCTAACAGCTTCCAAGTACGTGCAGACAGAATGCATTATGGGAGGTAGAAAAGTAGAGGTGAGTGTCTGGGACGTGGGCTGTGGATAAAATTCACGAGCTTCCTCGTTGAGACACAGGTAGCACCTAACATAATTGACAGAGATTGGGTGGATAATGATGTCTGCTGCCCTCTCACAGACAATTCTAGATAGTATTTCCTCAAAGGTTTGTGTGGGTTCAGAGTTGTTTGCTGGAAAAAGAGAGTGTTCTGTTCTTTTTATCCACCTGTATTTTTTTCCTCGTTACGTTTATTTCTTTTCAATCACTTCATTTGTGCTCGATGTCTGACATTATACTTCCGAAAGGCAGCTTCTTTGTCTGCATAAGCAATGTTGATTCTGCATGGGATTGTTAGGTGGTCTGAGACTGTGTTACAACCATGCAAATAGTATTGTTTCATTTAATTATCTTCTATTGATTTCTTATTCATGAAGTGAAATGCTACTTTAGATGCAACTGCAGCTCTTTATTTTCTACATTTTATTGCCATCGACCACATTTATATTTAAAGATGTCTGTTTGATGTTTACAGTGAAATGCAAATTTTGGTAGGGAATTTGTTAACAAAAGCTATTCTCTTTATACCCTGTGTAGTCACAGCACTTTTTTATAGGGATAATTTCACATAATTAGATTTCTCAAGTGAAACAGATATTAGACAGGGTTTTTTGAACTTCAGATCTTTTTGTATATTCTTATTCTTCTTCTTCTTCAAGATAATCTGCCTCCTTCAATGCTGACGATTCTTGCAGATGCCGTATATACTCGGCCTGATTGGGGCGTGTGCAGTTGTGACATAGCTTAATCAAAATCCATGGTTCTACCAAGTTTTAATTACTTATAATCCTTACCAGTAAAGTATATTTAACAATTTTTTTATTTTGTTCTTCTTTTTCTTCATTTCTCCAGGAACCAAAGCACAGTCGCTCGTCATCCCCAACGGATGGGACCACGGAGCAGGAACAGGACCCGAATCTCAAGGAGTTCCAGAAGTCCACACTGCGCTATGCAAACCTCAAACTGGGACCAAGCACATCCAAACAGGACCAGGAACCAAAGCTCCTGTCAGAACAGAATGTAAGATATCAAATAGAACATGTACCCTAGACTGAAGTTTCATTCCAACTCCTGTCCATCTGTCCATGGAACTCTCTCCCTGCCCATGTTGTAGGAAACATTTCAGACAATGAACTTCAAACTTTTAAAATGTAGAATACATCTAAACCTCCTTGATGTGATGTAATTTTGTTTTTGCTCACATTTAATGATGGTATTAGTTTGTTCCTTTGTAATGCCCATTTTGTAATCATTTTAGTCATTCTGAGATGCAGTGAATAACTAGAGAGTTAGAGTCTTTTGTAAGCTGTTTGATGATGCTATTGTTCACGTTTGCAACTTTAATATATTAATCTTTTTTAAAGCATATAGGACGACATTGAAAGAAATGTATAATACTCAGGAATTTCAGTTGAAAACAAAAGCTCATTCACATATTTATTCTGCAACAGTTTTTGTTTGTGTATGCACTAAAGTAATGGCGAGTAGGGATGATAAAAAGTACCTGCACGCAACAAAGGCCCAACACGTACTCTGTTATCTGTATTATAAGATACTAAAAAATCAAGTACTGTATGCTTTAAAAAAATCCAAGCAGCAAACCGCCATGGTTTACCCTGGCTTGTGTGAATAGACCTAAAGATAAAGAATTCGAAAACAGAATGCTATACATATCTTATGGTTTTGCCAAAACCGGTGCCAGCATATTTTTGATAAGGCAGATGTCTCTACGTATTAGCTTTCCTTCTGATTTTTCTTTGATTGGTCTTGTCATGTTCTTTGAAGGGGAAGATAAGGTGCCTTGAATTAAAAAGAGATAAAGTTAGTTCTTACAACTTGTATATTTATTAGGAAAAAGTGGGATGCATGGTTATTTTATCAGTATCTTTTCAACAATTCTCTTGGGTGTTTTATATTTCTCTGATCAGTATTGTGATGTTCTTAGAATTTGAGACAATTTTTTTTATAGTTTTGAAGTGAACTTGACATGAAAAATGGATGAATTTGAAATATTGAGTATGAAAATCTTGGAAACGTGATAATTTGATCTGCATCTTTGTAACAATTGTCGTGCACATTCAGCACTTTAAGAGCATTCACCGGGAATTTGAACCCCAGTTGTGGTCTGTGTATACCAATCTAGTAGTTTCACTTTCCATTTTCATGTCATTGGAGATCTTAGATGTATCGTGTTCATTGTACATGACCTTTACATTCGTTTTAATCTAGTAATTTCAATGTGGTATGGACCATTCTTTCAAGGACATTGCATCTAGGTCTGTCTCCTCAGCTCTCTCTCTCTCTCTCTTTCTCTCTTTCTTGCTCTCTCTCTTTCACTCTCTGTCTCTCTGTAAATCTGTATCTCCCTCTTTTCATTCTCTCTTTCTTCCTTTCTCACACTTTCTTTCTTTCTCACACTTTCTTTTGCTCTCTCTTTTTCTCTGTCTCCTTTCTTTGTCAATCCTCCACCCTCTTTCTCTCTCTCTCTCTCTCTCTCTCTCTCTCTCTCTCCTTCTCTCTCTCTCTCTCTCTCTCTCTCCTTCTCTCTCTCTCTCTCTCTCTCTCTCTCTTCTCTCTCTTTTCTCTCTTTCCCTCCGGTTGTCCAAGTCTCTCTACCAGTTTGTTTCTGTATCCTCCCTATTTTTATCCTCTCTCTTCTTTATGTTCTCTCAATTACTATCTTTGTCTATATCTCTTTCCTTTCTTGATCCATCAACATCTATCTATTCTGCTAGCTATCTAGAACTCTTTTATTAATGCTCACCTACCCGACACCAATTCTCACTTCCCTTTTGATTCAGTGTTGCATTTTATCAGTTGCACCTTTGTGCCATGCAACCATCGATGCAAGATCTGCAAAGTACACCATGTGACATCCATAGCCCTTGCAAACCAACCAACCTTCTACCAACCAAATTGATACCATCTATTGATTGTCTCTTCCATTTTGCTCCCTCTCTCCCTCTCCGTCTCCTTCTCTCCCTCTCTCATCCTACCTGACAGGTCCGGGGTATCCGGTTCCACGTGCGCTCCCTGGGGTGGGTGGAGATGGAGGACGCGGACCTGTCACCGGGCAAGAGCAGCCTGGCCGTCAATAACTGCATACGGCAGCTATCCTACCGCAAGAACGACATCCGCGACACCGCCGGAATCTGGGGAGAGGTAAGAATGTTTAAATTCTACCAAATGTATCTTTTGATGTATATTTTTCTGATGCTTTTGTCGACTGAGACACCTGCTTATTTAATAATATTAAATAATATATGTAATAGAGATTATATATCTCTCTTTAGTATGTTGAATAAATTTAGTTATCTGATTGGTCGAAATGGCAATCCTGCTATGTAACGTCCCCTTGAGCCTATAAAAACAACTATGCCTCTCATAGCAGTCAATATATCTATACCAGCACAGGGTTAGCAATGAAATGTATCAAAAGAATGAGAAAAGGCAGACTAAGAATAGTGATCATATGAGAGGGAGCTATTAAGAGAATGGGATAAACAAAAAAAAGCCTCAAGTCAAGACAAAGAATGAGAATTCCAAAGAAAACTGATAATATGGTAGGAGATCAATTTAAAGTAAGAAAGAAACAAACAAGTGATTTCTACAGTTGCATGATAACAAAGTTTACAAGACCAAAGATGCGTTTAGCTATTGGGAGCTTCCAATCATCTTTTGAGAGGAATTGAAATAAGAAATTTATCCCCATAATCACTTTTCACTTAAAGATAAACTCCAGTACTGGTAAAAAAAAAAAATTAATTCTCACAGAATCAAACGAAACTTACACTGAATGTTCAAGATTACAAATAAATGACATGTGCCAAACAATTTTAGAAGAAAATGTATACTGGCTGAGTAATGAGCATAGAAAGACAAGGAAACCAAGGTAGTACCATCCCCGACACCATGTGTGTTGTCCCATATATAGCTTTCTATGTGAGTGTTTGTTACTTTACCAAGACTCGGTCAAATTTATTATGATTTTGATGACTCCAGAACCTTGCAGTGCACACCAATACTTACATGCTACATGATAAACTGTTTCTGATCCTTTCACACCTTTTCTTTCACAATGCAATCGCATTACCAGTACTAAAGTTTAGCTTTAAAGATCCCCAAAGAGCTCCTGATCGACAACCTTTGGACAAAAACTAGATTTTACACTGATTTTTATTATGAAGGGTCATGATCTAACTGTTACTCTACTGTGCAAACAACCTGTATCCCCCACCCCCCCCCCCCCCCCCCACTTTTACGAGACTGCCTTAGTAAAGGACTAGTGAGCAGTGATTGCACATGGCAGACATCCTTGTAGAAGGTGATGGGAAGGGGGTGACCTATAGCCTTGAGAAGGAGGTATCACTGGACGGATTTGATTAAGTTTGATCTGAATTACTTGAAAATGAGGCCAGAATGCGAAGACTGCCGTAAAAAAACGTTTACTTTGAAGTCGATAACTGTTTGCATGCCTGAAATGTTCACAGATTTTGCGAGTGGTAGGATAATGCAAAAGTTTTATGCTATGAAATAATAGATTTGGCCCCAACATAACACTGAATTTCTGTAGGCTGCAAAGATGTCTGTTTGTAGAGTAGTCTTTAAAGGCTCATTTGAACATTGTTCTTTTTTATAGAGAAGAGGAGGTTAGGACTCCATGAAAGCATAAAGCAAGAATTAAAAACATAAGAAAATGAAAATGAAAACGAAGAATGGTGTTTAAGAATATTGAAAGAGATAGAATTCAAAAGGTGGTAGGGGGAAGGGGGGAAGGGGGGAAGGGGGGGGGGGTGAGAGGCACAGAGGCAGTGAAGAGATTGGTGTAATCACAATGATTTCTTCACAAATCTCCAGGGAATTTGTGAAGCACAAGACAAGACATAATTGTGAAGAAATATGAACAGGAAATTCTGAAAGCAAAATAAAAGAACTGGATTGGTGTAATCACAAAGATTTCCTCACAAATCTCCAGGGATTAGGAAAGCACAAAAACAAGATGGGAATGTGGAAGAAATATAAATAGGACATTCTGAAAACAAAATAAAAGAACTTGAATAGAGACTGAAGAGGAAGAGGTGTTGGGGAAGGGGGTTGCTAGAGACACATGAACCTAAGATTTATGAGTTCTAATCAACAAGTTCACATCAGGGTTAGATTTCAATCCATCAAACACACATCAATCACAAAGGTGGCATCATGCATACTTGTAAAGATCTGTTGATAGATGACTTTTTATTTTTAATTCTTATTCATATATTTATGTTTTTAAATTCATTGATTCTGTCATCCTTTCACTCAATCATTCATTTATTCAGTCAGTCATTCATGCGGTTAGTTATTTGGGTTGTCACTCAGTTGTGAATACGTCAGTGCATTCACCTAATCCATCAAGAGATTTGTCATCAATCATTTCCGCATTCATGTTATCCACTTAGTTATCCATCCATCCGTCCATCCATCCATCCATTCATTCATTCATTCATTCATTCAGCCACTCATTCAATCACGGTTTATTGCATCAGTACATCCCATCTATCCATCCCATGTCTACCTTCTTGTTTCCCTAGAGTTAGGATGCTTGAGAGATTCAATCATTGATTGTAAGTTTGTTCATTCAATCATTCATCCTCTTCACTTGATCCTTCCATCACTCCATCCATCCTTCTATCCTTCCATCCTTCTATCATTCCATCATTCCTTCCTTTGATCCTTCCATCATGACCTTATCTACCTTGTTATAATCTGATAGGGCAAGGATATGGTGCTAGAGGGATTTCATTCATATGTTCATTCAATCATTTGTTCACTCCATTCGATCCTTCCATCACTCCATCATTGCCATATCTACCTTGCCATATCTACCTTGTTATAATCTGCAAGGGTAAGAATATAATGCTTGAGGGATTTATTCATTCATCTCTTCATTCAATCATTTGTCACTCCATTCGATCCTTCCTTCATTACCTTATATATTAATCTTGTTATAATCTGCTGGGGTAGGGATACAGTGCTAGAGGGATTTATTCATTCATCTCTTCATTCCATCATTAATATTCCCATAATACATGCAAGTTACTTCTTCCTCCACTTCAAGATAGGATGGATGTATTTATTCATTCGTTCACTTGGTCATTTATTTACTATCATTCCATCATTGCTCATCTCACACAAACTTGTTTTTATCTTACCAAAGATTAATCAGATGTACCTTGTGTTAGAGGATGCGTACATGAAGCTTTCAGACCCTAACAACTCTGCCAGGATCATCCTGTTTTTTGTATTGTTATTCGTTCCTTCATTCTCTCTTTTATTTCTTCATTCTATCTTTTATTCCTTCATTCTATAATTTCTAATTCCTTTCCTATCTTATTTATCTCCCCCCCCCCCCCACCAGGGTAAAGACATGTACATGATGTTAGAGGATGAGTACCTGAAGCTCACGGACCCCAACAACTCCACCATCATCTTTTCTTTTACATTGCCATTCATTCCTTCACTCACTCTTTTATTCCTTCATTCCATCATTTCTAATTCCATCCCCTATCTTATTTATCTTCTCCCCTAGGGTAAAGACATGTACATGGTGTTAGAGGATGAGTACCTGAAGCTCACGGATCCCAACGACTCGACCGTCCTCAACTCGCAGCACGTATGCAGCATCAGGGTCTGGGGTGTCGGACGTGATAACGGAAGGTGAGAAAAGTTTATTTGACATTTCATCGTTTCCCACCTAACCCTCCCCCAATCTTCCTCATTTAAAAGATTCAGATGCGAATGTGCCTGTGCACTACGGAGGAATTGACATTTCTTTGTATTTCGCCGCTGTTGTTGCTTTGAAAAGTTTGAATGCCAGGTTTTATTGGACAGCTTTGTTGGGAATCTTCTAGACGTTGCATCATTTTATTAAACTTATACTGTACTCCTAACCATCGGTCCTTTCTCAAACCCTTGACATCCCTCCTTGTATGATGTCTGTTTCTAAGGTGAATTGTCGTTTGGTCTACAATCAGTTTGTCTACTACCCAATTGGTCTATTCCCATATTGCCTACACCCAGCCCGTCTACTATCCACATGATCTAATAATCTTTTGTCTTCTTATCATTTGGTCTAATGACCAGTCAGGCTAATATGCATTTGGTCTAATCCAATTAGTCTAGTAGCGATTTGGTCTATGGTTAATTTATTTAGTCTAATTCCCAGTTTTTCTAATGCAAATTTCATCTAATATTCACCAAAGTCATGATTAAATGATTATTAGACCATATGAGTAGTAGATGGTCTGAGTGTAGACCATATGGGAATAAACCGTTTCTGAGAGTGGCATTAGCTCTATTTGAAAGTGTGTGAGTTAATGCCCTTCTAGCTTTAAGCAGATGAAAAGGAACTTGATTCACAGTTTGGCAATGTTCCTCCTCTTTTTTACTCCACGGGGAGTGTCAAGTCGTATCATTTTTCAGATTCCTCTTCTGCTCCTTGGTAATCATGATACCATTTGCAGTAGGAGAGAAGGAAAAAAAAAGCATGAAAGGTTGTTTCCCTCTTGCAGAAGGGACAAACAAAAAAGGAAAAGGAACAAAATCTGTGTATGTGTGTGGGTGCATGTCAAATATAATCATGAGATATTGATAAATGCTGTGAGAGGGTTCTTGCCAATCGTATAATCAGACTTATTAATCTTGCCTTTACTGGTTAGTGATCAAGTAGAGAGCCATTTGTGTGTTTATCTGATTGCAAATTTCATTATAATTTTCATTATCATGCAGCTTTCAACATCTGACATGGACCCTCCCCCATAGAAGGCATATAGTCCCATTTGCTTCATTTATGTATATTTGTCTATTGGTACAAAGCATATGTTGCACAATATGTCATTATTCATAAATTCCACTTGTATTTATTCAATTAGAAAGAGCAGAGAGTTGCTTTACACCTAAAATTCTAAGTGTCACTGCTACTTTCTATAGATTTCCATGCTACATGCTATTTTTTATAGTGCAAAATTATCAAAAACTTATTTTACCTCACACCCACCTTGTTTTCCCTGTGAAATTCAGTTTGCTTATGATATGCTTTATTGATGGGATAGAACATCTGTAAATGGGTATCAAAGTATGCTTTTCTTTCTTGAAGACTGTTAAAGATTCTATTCGATGGCAGTAGGTCTGTGTCTAACAAAAAGTATAGGCAGGAAGATGAAAAAAACCAGTGGAGAAATGAGACCAATCGCGATTGTCTGCAGATGCATTGTGGGTAGTGAGGAAAGCCATAAGTAGATGGAGCCAATTCCATCTATTTATAATAAGCCCCAGACGGTGTGATATTTGAATGCGTAACGATTGACCCCGGTAAGACTCAATCACCTACAAGGCCAAACACATTCCCTGCCGCAGATTGCAAAATTAGATAGATTGGACGGGTTTCTTTTGACCTTTGGCGCTCATTATGTAAGGTCTGATCTTAGTTTACGGAAATAAGTTTGTTGATGATTGAAAATATCCAGCTGATATGTGCAATTGGAGGTATCATGCATTCCTGGCACTTTTATTTATATAAAAGACGCCTTTCTTCTTTGTACAGTAGTGTTACAATATGGAGACAGTTGGATACTAGAATCTTGTCGGTATTGTCAAAAGGTCTTGGTAGGTGTGTGCCCCGATGTGTCAGTTGTTTTTCTCTTGTTTGTCTGTTTATTTGCCTGGTTGTGTTTTTGCTATTGATAGTTTGGCAATACTGCATTGTTTCAGTAAATCTGAATTTCTCATGGGGGGGGGGGGGGGTGGTTGAAGCTAGGTCTCAATATGGTATCTAAAATTGGCATCGGACCCAACCTGTATCTTCCCTCCGGGAAATTGATTTTCATGTGAGCAGACCACTTGGGACAGGAAATGAATTCAAGTGATTTCCCTCAACTTCCTTAAGGAGAAACATAACAGATGGCGTGACGAGGGCTCCAAAAAGAATCCTCTGAAACTGCAATGTCCATGACAACGAGACGATATACGAGGATCGGGGGTGGGATGCATTCTCTCTTGGAAATGTCACGCCGTACGAGCACACAGGCAGGCAACGATCTCCAGGGAGAAGTGGGTTCCGCATCTTAAGATGGATTAACCAACATATTGGAAGGGGCTGGTAGACAGGTAAAGCGGAAAGGTAGGCTGAATTCCTCCCCGCGACTGGGGGCCCTCATCCAAACTCTAGACGTTCAGCGATAATGAGGCTCTTGTCTCGCCGTGCGTCTGCAATTTTACCTGTCCTCTTGGGTAATGGAACTCTTGCGCAGGTAGATGGAAATGAGAGAAAGTAGAACTCGATGTACTCTACTTACTTTATTAGGACTTTACCGGCTTCTTTCTTGTTTGCTTGAGACCTTGTTGTTCTTTCAAATACTTGAATATACCTTGAGGCGAGGAGCAAGGGTGACTAGATTGCAGATGTTATTTTTTCATCCTAGATTATCTAGCTAACCTAATTTTACAGAAAGGTTTTTTAAATAAGTAAATAAGTATTATAACAATTTGAATATGGTGCATCTACTCCAATGTCTTTACAAAGTTGGATGATGTCTTTAATCCTGTCTGCACCGTACGTTAGATTAATGCCTGTCTACACTAGTTTGGCCAGGACGGAATATACCTCCCTGCATGGTCACTGGCAGGTGGTTATCTCATCAAATCAGCTCTCAATTAACATAAGAAAAAGGGGTCCATGGGGGATCAACGGGTACCGCTTAGACATTGTTTGCTATATAGAGGGCGCAAGTAGCTACTAGTTGTGCAGTCCCGCTTTAAAATATCGTGTTCAAAGTTTTTGGTTCATCAAACCTATATTTACAGTAAAAAGTGACCAATTATGAAATTCTTTCTTCCCAGTTTTATCTGCTGTAATCCTTTTATCCATTACCAATCATACTCAATTCTCAATTACCAATAATTATTATCTAATTCTATCATTAAACTCAGGCGAGTGGACTTACGAGATAATTGTCAATTTAGGGCGGAAAAAACATGCTGAGCCCTTATTTTTAGAACAACTCTAAATTACTGCTTTAATGTTGTTTTTCTAGAATAAATCCTTTGTCTGCTCCGACTTTGAAGTAGTTCCGGCAAGGTAATTGCATCGCTTGGGTAAAGGTGTTCGGACAGGTATTCCCAGGAGTGGAACTTATCCTGGCTTGAGGCAATGTTCTCTTTATGTTGGTCGAGTGTTTAGGTAAGAGGGAAGAAGGGGATGATCGAGGCCCACTTGTTTCTGTTTTGTAAAGGAAGTTTGTTTTCAGGTTAGTAGAGGCGGAAGGTTTTTTTTACCTCTGTTACATGATATGAATTAATAATTGTTTATAGGTACTAAAGAGGGAAGAAGAGAATATATGATGAAAGTGGGATCCTATGTTTAGGGGCCCAGCTATTTCTCTTATTTGAAAGGAAGATATTGTCCTTTGAGAGCCAGAAGGATGTTAGATCTGTGTGAAGTGTTTTAAGTTAACGCCCCTCTGGCTCTGGGCTGATAATGATTTTGGTTGGTATTTCAAAATGTTAGAAGTGTGTCAGGAGAATGAAGTATGATCTGTTTCAAGGGGCCCAGTTGTTCTTCATAGGTTTCAAAGGATTTTGTAGGATCGTATTGCAAGATGTGCATGAAGTGGTAGAATTAAAGAAGAGTCGAAAGGCAAGTGAGCATGGAGAGGAAAAAAAAACATTTGGTTGACTGATAATATCATCCAAAACGTTTTGCCTAAAAATGTTGTCTTTGAAATTGGAATATCTAGTGGAAGGAATGTTAGAGACCTGGCAAGAAATGGTCTGACAGATAATTTGATATAGAATACATGGAAATACAAAAACACCAATTATACATACATGATAGGTAGAGAAAGAGATTTTATATTGTATTGAGAGCATATACAGCAGGATGTGGGGATAAAGAAATATGCAGCATTTGGGAGGGGAAATACTGATTAATAATACAGTGACATTTGAAAATGGAAGATTATAGAGACAATTCAGAGCACACGCTATTATCGATATGATGGGAATTCAAGATTCTTCCTAGCATGTTTCCGTAATGCTCATAGAACATGAAGGAGATAAAAACTATAGCGTTATCTTTCTTAGCATTCATCTGCTTCGATTGGGTGTGGGTGTGTTGTGTAGAGGAAGGCATTTGCATTTAAATATCGTCTGATTGGAATCAGAAGGGCATTAAAAGCATGTGTACTCTAAAACAGAGTTAACGCCCTCCTGGTTCAGAACAGATGATATGGAGGAACTTTGGAAAAGCGAATCTTTTCATTTTCAATTCCTGTCTTTTCCTCTGTGTGTTGTTGATGCATGGTTAGAAAAGGTATTCTATAAGGAGGGAAAAGCAGGCAGGCCGTCTTTAGGAGGGAAAGAAAAGAGAAAACATTGTATTTCATTAGAGAGATCCATTCAAGATCAGCGTCTTTTAATCCCCTCTTCCATCATCGCATCAGTCGAGGACAGGTATGCGTTACCGTGACTGATCACCGAAGACGCTTCTCGTGGCGAACGATTCTCTCACGTTGCGTTATCCTGACAAGTTAGCGCTGTCGCCCCGTCGGTAAGCCCCTCACGCACCTCCGGGGTAATGTTTTGCGTGTCGTTCACCTTACGTCACCACTGCAGGTGTGCAAGCAAACAACTTTCCTCTTCTTGTCTTTCTCGACACCTCG